CAATAATTATAAAGGAGTGCCTTGGAAATATGTGTTTACATAAATTGTGACCAAACCGTTTGAACTTAGACTAAAGTGAACTATCTAAACACTGAGTCCTTTACCTCACTGAGCTGTAGTTATCAGCCTCTCAGTCTGACTGGAGAGGACTCTCACTCCACATTATTGTAGAAACATCTTCTTCTTATATCCGTTAGAGCAGCTAGCATCAGATTCTAATAACAACAGCGCCGGTACCGGTGCACCCTCCCTCTCTCCCATTCTCACTCGCACTTTGGCTGTGAGCTGCGGGCGCCAGATAAGCCAACATCCCCCATTTTCATCACTTACAGCGCCCATCGTACAGGGCAAATGAAAAGGGTAACCGGGGTGAAAAGGGTGTTACATTTACTTAATTATGAATATTGTTACATCAAGGCCGAAAATTAGGATGAGCACCAACGGTCAAAAATGTTTTTTTCCCTCCCAGAACTGCCAGCGCCAGTGCCCCCCCAGATCTGGCGCCCCTAGGCGAACATCAACGCCAGTGCTACGGGCCGGCCCTGAGTTCATGCAACTCGCATATATCTTTCTCTCTCTCTCTTCTCTCTCCTCACTTTTCTCTTCTCTCAATGTTGGTACGCAAATGCTCCTTTTTTCAAATGCACCTGCGCACCAGTTATGTGCAGCCCTGAGTATAGTGATGTTTTCTATTGAATAAAGAAATGAGGCACTAGCTAAACATTCTTCAATGTGTAAGTTGCTGTTCATAGTTTGAATAGCATGAACATACAGAATTCAAATGGACAAAGAGTAGAAAGCAAACTCAAAACAAACTAAAGGGTTGGCAACACCATGTTTTCCTCTACTACATGTATATATGGGGCTACTGAGTGTTGATTTTACAAATATTTGCTTTGTCTCTCCCTAGTTATGATTTAATATCATAATATTGTAAATAAAATGTGAAAATAACTCCTGTATAATGTCCTCAGCGTGTGTGAATGAATCAACATGTAGAACAAGTTGCAGTAACATGTTGGAGATAGAAAGGCTGAAAAACAATCTGTTTCAGAGAATACATTTATTCAAAGGAAAACTGAACTGAACTGAACTTTATGCTGTGTCATCTCTCTCTTTCACTTTCTTTCTTTCTGACTGTCTCTCTCTCTCGCTGAGTGTCCCTGACGTCCTCCTTGCTGTGAATTGCTACAATGAGGGGGGGCGGAATAAAATTAGGGCTGAAATTTCAATTTACAACCACAAAAAGTAAGCAGGCTAAAAAAATGTCTGTTGATCAGTTTCAGTAATACAAATAGAGCTAAGCCTACACATGATGAACAGCATTGTTGTTGAGTTCAAAAGAAAAGTGAATATTTTCCAAACATGTTGTTAATTTTGCTATAGAGACATACATCTAAAATAAAACGAACATCAGATATTTCTATGTAAATATGTAAAGAGGACATTGCTAATAAATGTGCACATTAGGGCTGCACGATATATCGTGTCGTGACGATAATCGCATGCGCGATATTCACATCGCAGGACGTACATTTTTTTACGACGTGCGATATTAAGTAGGCAAATTAGCTCAAACACGTCATGTTACAATTCTTTTGCTGCTTGCTACTAAAGGAAAACTTGCGTGGCTCTCATGTCAGGGGTACTTGAGTGAGTGACATGCAGGCTCTGCATGCACAGCAAACCACCAATCACAATCAAATCTATAAATCAAACGGACCCGGTGATTAAAGGTAAAAACACTGAATAAAGTAGTTTCATGTGTTTCTCCAGGGCAGTTCGGCGCTGCTAACCGAGCTAGCTCAGCTTGTTGCTCTGATAACTTAAGATCCAGACGTCCGTAAATAAAATCCTTCATCCGGTTAAATATAGTTTAAAAAATACCAATTGTATTATTAAAGTTCAAGAAAGGATTGTTTGTGGACAAAAAAAACTGTCTTTTCTTCAATTCCTGTATTTTGTTCATATCGCTATATATATATATATATATATATCCCAGGGAAAAAATATATATATATCGCAATATCAGTTTTTTCCAATATCGTGCAGCCCTAGTGCACATGTTTAGTGTTTATAGTGTAATGTAATAGTGGATTACTGACATATGTTTCACTTTTTGCTACTAACCTTTTTCCGGCCTTTAATTGCCAATGAGTCATCATTTTACACCAAAATGTTTTCTCTGTTGTACTGAAAACTTATCATCCCACTATTTTTGTGTATCGTTACCACCCAATTTTGCAATTCAGTGAATTATAAATCTGTAATTGGTTAAAGTCAAGCCTAATTGTCAATTATGCAGAACGATGTTGTTTCAAAACACAATGAAGGGAGTCATAAGGCCTGAAGATAAAACTGAAGTAGTCTCTTACCAATGATACCATTCATCACAGTCATCACATCCTATCATGGGACTGCCATCATCAGCTTTGTTGCAGCCAGGACAAATCCAGATCTGGTTTCCCCATTCATCTCGTATCTACCGGAAATGCAAACAACAGAAAACAAAAGTAACACACTGCTCCATGACACAATAGTAGAATAAATCTTGAATAACCATATAGTTAGTATCTCTTAGGTGTTTTAATTGACTGCCCACCTTAAGAGTCAAGAAAAGTGATGATAGGAAATGCATGTAGTCGTGTTTCATATGCATAGACTGTTATACTATGCACAATTAACAATAACGTACAAGCACTCACCACGTATGTACTGACCGTCTCTGTTACTACGCTCCGGACCGGCGTCTTGAAGGATGCGGCGGGGGAGAGCATCGGGGCCGCGGAGAGCAGCGATGAAGTGGCAGGAGCTGGTGGAAGAGGAGAGGGCGCTGGAGGCAGGATGGGGATGACTGGCGCGAGGACTGGAGGCGGCGTCCGAGGGCGGTTCCCTGGTCCAGACTTGGAAGCGGGGGTCCTGGGTATTGGCGTCCTGGGCTCCGAGTTCGGAACCACCTTGCTGATGACACTGGAAACCCATTGAGAGATAGATACTAGTTAGCACAATGATAATAATTCTGGTATTTAGAAAAGGTAATAATAGTATAATAATATGTCATCATTAATAATATTAGGAGACTTTACTCTGTGCAAGTTGTACAATTTAAAGAATATAACTCAATGTCAGAATTATTTAGCCACAAAGGCAATGTAGCACGTAGTAATAACACCTATTTTTAAGGAATTTCTTTGTTTTTATTGGATTATTGACTACTGATATTTTTTTCCTGATCCTAACAACAACATTTTGAAAAGTAAGGAAGTACTGTATGAAAAGAATAAAAAAAGACTATGAATCTGAAGAGGCATTTTAAGGAAAATGTCAATACTGGAATAATAAATAATAACTTTAATAATAATAATAATAATAAAGTATGTCATGATTATACGGCTATATATATGATATGAGACTTTTCTCTCTGTGTAAGCCGTACAATTTAACCTCATTTTAAGGCCATGTGTCTTGCAAAATCACACACAAATTAAAGATCAATTTATATTAATAGTGAGGAAAAGTTAAAAGGTGAGATTTAAAAGATTTAACTTTTTAGTATTTATTGGGCTTTTATTTTGGTGAAAATCCACTTTTCCTGATGAGCATAACTTTTGTTTCAGTCAAATAAAAAAAAGGTGCGTGTTTTTTGTGTTGCTATCTCGGTCTATTGAGAGTCACTGTGTAGATCTGTATAGTTTTTGTTGAAGATAAATGAAAAACATTCATGTCAGGATTACATGAATCCAAGATCATTATACCAAATGTAAATGGCATACTGTACTGAATATTGGAAACCCAAACGAACATTGTACATTCTAGTCTGAACTGAGATGTTACAGTCAAGAAAATCTAGAAAGACAAATGATGATAATGATATAACTAAATGTGTCATTTGAAGCACAAAGGCAATGAAACATGTAGTATTTAAACTTGTGAAAATGAAAAGGCACTTTAAGGAAACTTTGTAAAATTGGAATAATAAATAATACTAATAAAATAAACACCAATTTACATTTAAAACAACAAAAAAAGAATGAGAGGAGATCACGATACCATAAAAGACGGTGATGGAAGAAACTGATGACTTAGAAATATCTCCAGGGAACATCCATTGAGTGGCTACAGTTTTGTCCTGGCCTGCTCCCATTTTGTCCTGGCCTGCTCCCACCCTGAGCGTCAGTCTGGGATCACTGGAGAAGGCAGAACTACTGGAGTCTCTATTTTCACCTGAGGATACTATAGAAGGACGTGGTAAACATCAATGACACTCGAAAACAGGGGGGTCAAACTCAATTTCATCACGGGCCACATTCACATTATGGTTGCACTCGAAGGGCCGGTTGTAACTTTAAGACTATATAAAACTACATATATAAATATTTAATATATATATATACATAATGTATTATATTACATCATTGCCTCTGCATTGGATTATTCTCGGATAGGGTAATAACTTCATAATCAACTCGGTCTGAAAGCAGAAATCTAGGGCAAATAATTGTAAGTCTGTTCAATCAGTGAAACTCAAAAATGGTTTTAAAAGAAAAGCACAAAAAAAAAAAAACATTTTGAAAAAAAGTCAATTCTGAGGGGCAAATTCTGTGAGAAAAAAGGCATATTTAGAAGAAAAAAAGTCAAATCTGAGAAAAAAGTCAAATGAGAGATGCATTGTGGGACATGTAGTTTATGGGCAACGTGCTTCTGTAAATCGCCATGTAACCGTATAACAAACATATTATATTCTTTGCAAGCTCTTGTGGGTAGGGCTGCTCAATTAATCATATTTAATCGCAATTACGATTTTGGCTAGCAACGCTTATGAAAACAACATAATCAAAATAAAACTTTTTTTTTTCAGTTGAATTACACTTAAAGTTCAGGGTAATCAACTGTTAAAAACATACTGTTCAATTTTTGAATTAATTTTTTTTTTAAATTGATGTTTTCAAAGTTAATGGATAATCGTGATATCAATTATTGACCCAAATAATCGAGATTATGATTTTTGCCATAATCGAGCAGCCCTACTTGTGGGGCCACATAAAATGAAGTCGCGGGCCGGATTTGGCCCCCGGGCCTTGAGTTTGACACCCCTGCTCTAAAACAAACACATCATGACATATCAAGCAAATAAAATTACCTTCTCCAACCGAATTCTCTCTTTTTCCTTCTCCTTCTCCTTTTCCCGCTTTTCTTTTTCCCTCTCCTTTTCTTTCCTCTTCTCCTCTTTCTCTCTCTCCTTTTCTTTGGCCTTCTCTCGCTCCTTATCCTTCTCCTTGTCTTTCTTTTTCTTCTTCTCCTTCTTGTCCTTCTTCTTGTCCTTCTCCTTGATCTTTATCTCCTTATCCTGGAGGATCGGGGCCAGAGGAGGGAGCATAGAGGGGATGCGCAGGCAGGAAGCGGCGCTGAACAGTTGGGGGATTTCACCCAGAGCAAAGGGCGCTAACGCAGACTGTTTCTGCCGGTCCTCCTTGTTCCTGTCTTTACCCTTTTCCCTCTTATCTTTGTCCTTTTTACTCTTTTCTTTATCCTTCTTTTTGTCTTTGTGTTTCTCCTTCTCCTTCTTAGGGACATCTACATCTCTGGTTTTTATCTTGATGGAGCCCTCAGGAAGAGTGAAGTCTCGCTGAAGGAAGTGCTCGTCATCCTTCATTCCAAACTCCTTCCAGGGCATCTTTCCATCCTTGAAAAAGTCCTTGTTTTTATCCCGGTTCTTATCCTTGTTCTTCTCTTTCAGCTTGCCCTTATCCTTTTCCCGATCTTTGTCTTTCGGCTTGTCCTTCTCCTTCTTCTTCATTTTAGTCTTGAGCTCCTTTTTCAGCTTTTTCTTCACATCTACTGATGGCACCATCTTGTTCTTCTCCTCAAACACCTTGAGTAAAGGTTCAGGTGTAGGCGGTGAAGCTGATCCCGACGAGACGTACTCCCCTTGGCTTTGTTGGGGTGCAGAAGGACCCCCCTGGTTGACCTTTCGGATCACCTCATTGATCGAATCATCCATAGTCCATTTTCCGGGTCCTGCGTGTGCCTGTAGGTGAAGCGGTGTTGATGTGTCTTTCGCAGAGATCCCAATCTGGAGTTTAGGCGTAGTTGGCTCCATGATGGTCAGCCTCCTTGGACTGGAGATTCCATTGCTATCCGAATCAGAGCCCGAGGAGAAAGCAAAAGGATCCGGCTCCCGCTCAGCACACGCTCTTGCAATCACAGCATCGATGGAGTCCTCGATGTCTGCACTTTCAGGCTCTAGTGTCTTGAAGGGGACCTCATCTAACTCCCTGTCCTCTATATTTTGACGCATATGGATGTTCTCCTTGCCCATCCTCTCGCTCAGCGCAGACATCGGGAGCTTGTGCACAACATCCGACTTGCTCTGGGGTTGGGGCGCTTTGGCTGAACCCGTCTTTGGGCTCTTGGGGCTTTTAGGACTCTTCGTTCTCCCCGGGGATTTCTTTCTTTCCTTAGACGTTTTAGGTGAATGGAGGGGACTACCTCCCACCGGAACAGGAAGGACCCCTTTTGGGGACTTAGTCCGTTGTCTGCCAGGTGACGAGACCTTAGACTTTCTTCCTGGAGTGGTGAGGCCCTTTTGATCAGAGTGTTTTGGTACTACTGGCTGAGGTCTGAAGGAAGGCAGGGCTCCAGAAGGTGTTTCAGGAGACATGGGGTCAAGGCTATCATGAGAAGGCAGCATGCCTGGGGGAACACGTTGAGTGTTGAGAGAGGTAAGAGGCTCCCTGGGCTCAACCCCCCATTCTGGGCTGAGGCCGGGGTACATGCGGGGTCTCTTAGTAGGCATCATGCCCAAAGCTGCATCCGGACTGTCCAGGTCCCGGTGCCTCTTCAGTGGGTGGTTCTCATCGTTGACCGTCTCATCTTCGTCTATTTCCTCGTCGTCCTCTTCCAGTGCCACCTGCATAGCTTCGGCTGAGGTGCCCATGTCAGGAAGGACCTCCTCCTCCTCCTCTTCTGGAGAGGAAAAGGACAAAAAAAGAGTTGAGCATTTTCAATTTTAAGTCCAAGGATTGTCACTAACACAGCCATGTTCTAACACATATACAGGATATGTTAAAGACAAATCCAAACTGATTTGACTCAAACCAAAAATATGGTTTTATACACTGGATAATAATGTACCAATAAAACTGTACCGGCCGCTCTTTCTTCTTGATCTATATATAAATATATAATAATAGTGATAGTAGTTAAAAAATATATAATTTTGCCTGGTTTAGCTTTTGATGTTGATGCTGTTGATGTTGATGTTTACTACAATTATTATTCCGTAAGAAAATAAAATGTATGATTGTCATGTTATAACCTTGGTATATTTAGCTATTACTAAAGATCTTAGAGGAATCTTTTAGAGGATGTAGTTTTGTGCTTTTGCAAAATGTTATGCGCAGAGTTTACAGAATATTGAGTCCACAATTATTGATAGAAATTAAGTGAATCAAATATTGAAAACAACTAATAGAACAGCCAAAAATAGCCATTAAAACAATCACAGATGTGCACATTTGTATTGTCATTATATGAACTGACCATCTTCTAAGGACACCAGGGGTGGCATGTGATCTGGAATGTATTCCTTCCTTTCCTCAGCATCTCGGGCTCCAGGCTGGGGAAACTGCAAGACGTTGTTTTTGCTGACAGGAAAGAGTGGCGTTTGTTGGGCGAAGGCCACAGGCTCCAGGTTGTGGACGTAGTCCTCCAGTTCACTCAGACTCACCCCCAGCAGTCTGAAGGCCTGGCTGACATCATCCAGAACAGGATCTGTTCTTCCATCTGAAATGCAGCAGCCCACAACAAGACATGAAACCACTGCAAACACACTCTAAATGCATCTGGTTCACTTAACTATTCTGTTAGGGTTGATGATAGCCTTGGACAAAAGATTGATTATATACTAGTGATTGTGCTGCACATACAACGAGGTGCCCTGAGTGATGTTGACATTCAACATATAACAACATTCAACATATAGCATTCAACTGTTTGCATCTACATACTTCAATAAGCCGTATTAATTTCACTGCACAGTATTTAATTTGACATGCTGTTCTTGTTTATCTTATTCTATTTGCATGTATATAGACTCCTGCATTTAATTGGTCACTTACAACATGTAACTTATTGTATTTCATTTGACATGTATGAAGTGTACTTCTTCTGCATTACTTGCACATTGGTCTTGCACTATTCTATTTATAATCTGTTTCTTCTTGCACTGTTTGTATTGTGTATTTAAAATGTGTTTTATATCTTGTATATATTATTTATTTTTGCATTGTTGGAGGTGCCTGGGACTTAAGAGTTGAATTGCCATAATTACACTGTAACTACTGTGAATATGAGTATGACAATACAACCTTTGGATCTTGAATCTTTGAAGCAAGAAGTAGCCAAGCACTCAACAGGTTAGAGGAGTGAATCATTTTACTGATAGGTACAATATACTTAGGTAACTAATCGACTAACACATTGAGGAACACAGCTGAAGGGCATCATAGCCATAATAATAACAACACATGAAGGCTATTTAGCTCTGTAGCTACTGTACTTTTTGACACATCAACCTTTGCTAGGGGGCGCCAGCCACAGAACCAGTCAACAACAACGTGATCGACTTCTTCAGGTTTACGGCTTACTAAAAGTAATCTGGGGACTAAACCGAGCACTTACAGAGTTCAGAGTACCGGTGGCAGACTTTGGCCAGCTGCTGGATGTATCGATGCAGCACATCGGACAGCTGATCGCATGCAGTGAGCTGAACCGCATCCCAGCCCAGAGCCTGGCAGATCTGCGCCACCGAAACACGCAGCAGCGAGCGGGCATAGCTCTCACACATCTTGCTGACTTTGTTACGGTATTAATCCCGGTCAGTTCCTCTCCCAAAACATGTTCTCAGTCTTCATGTTTCACGGAACCCCTCGGGGGCTTGAGAAAACACGCCACTGCGGTTGATTTTGAACATCTACTTCAGTAAATATATTGGCGCTTTCGCCAGAGTCGCCATCTTGATTCCATCGATAGACCCATCCCCGAAATTCAGACTGGGCATGCGCAGAAATCAGCGTCCGCCTCCGCGGCTCCGCTGTGTTCGAGCGGCTCACCAACGGCTGAAGTTGCGCAGCAACGACTTCGTTTGTCATAATACAAACCCCAGGAAGTGCGACGGCCTCTGAAGCGGATTTTTTGAAGTTGCCAAACAGTGCAACTGTCGTGACAGCGTCCTTGACGTCAGTTCAACCATTTCCCCTAAGACCATTTCCCCAATGACTAACAACAATAACAACAATAACAACAATAACAACTAACAACAATACTTATTTTTTTGCGAATAAACGACCCATCACGAACCCTTATTTAGCCCTTGTTTAAATAATTCATCTCCATTAATTTGACTGAGCCGAGAGCAAGATATCGGAGGCGGGGCTTAAGGAAAACTCAAGTGCGCATGCTCCATAAGCAAAATGCCCCGGATGATCCGGGTACTTTCTGAAGCAGTCGCTACATTTTGAGATTCATGCGCCAGCGAGCAATTTTTAGGAATGTACGGTGCTCCGCTTCCGAATCCGACGCAGTATCCAGTTCCCTTTATACATCCATGCGTTAGTCCAATAAATATTGTTCATGATATGAATCACAAACTGGGGCAGGTAATCTGTTGGATTGGTTAATGAATTACTTTAGATGTGGCTGAACGGAACTGGATCAAAACGATTTACAAGCGATTTAAGTGGGAGGTTTTAACGTCTCACACCGACGGTCAGTTTCGGTTTTTACTTCACATCCGCTGTGTCATGCTGAATTTGGAGAAAACACCGACAGGCTTTTTCCTGCATCGATGTATAAACTGTTGACTTCAGCTTTTTTTTAGGGTGAATGTTGTGAAGGAGTGCTCGGAAGATACTAGCCTACGGATATACATGTTTTTTTAAGGAGAGTCGGTTCAATTTCATATCCGGATTTTATGACACTGAAACTTTCTTGCTTAGTCACACTCACATACTTTATTTTAATTCCATTGATTTACTGTGTCTTACTATTTATGCTGTGTTCTGTTACATAATCCAGCGATGTAGACACCTTTTGCCTTCTTCTTTTCTAGGGGGGAGTGGCTCGAAAATAATTCCCCAATTTAGAATCAATAAAGTACTAATCTAGATCCAAAATACTTTTGTTGAAGCTCCTGGCTGCTTCATCAAAAAGTCACAGATGGACCAAGAAAAAAAGAAAGGGTGTAATGCACACAAATACGTTTTTAAGAAGCACATTGATCAGCTAAAAAAAGGAGGGGACACACCGAGGTTGCAAACAGCTTGAAAAATACAGACAAACTGGCAGAACAAGCTTTATCAGGCAGAGTTACGGCCCGGTGAATCCCCACCTCCAAAAGAGTCAGAAAGAGAAGGGAACAGAGTTGGATGCATGGATGTATAATAAGAACTGGATACAGCATCGGAGGCGGGGTCTAGTTATTTCCTATGACAGCTGCTCCTTGGCGGATGAGGACAGAATGGCCCACATTTTCAGAGAGCGAAACGTAACAAATTACCCATCATGCCTAGCTGTCAGAGCAGAAGAACCCGTATATGGTATGGACGCTCACAGTAGAATGAATGGAGACAGAAAATAAATCTAGATTCGGCTGCATTTTACAACTTTAAGGACAGAATGATTCTAATAAGGGCTATACAATAGTTCATACTGGGTAGTTTAATTAGTTTAAAAAAAAGTATCCGCTGATTTACAGACGTCTCTTTCCTCATTTTAGGCAATGGGGAAAAGTCTTTCTGGGCCCAGTGACGTCACGGACTGATACGGAAATTGTAGTACCGCCGTTTGGACAAATGATTAGGCTTGTTTGAGACTGTCACTACCCGATCCATCCCGGTTATGGCTAGAAAGGATCCGTCTGTAAAACTCTCGCAAGTCACGTGGCTGAATGTTTACGTTTGGCAGGCAGCCTTTCAGTTACGATCGTTAACATCAGTGGGCCACAGCAAATGATCGTGAGAAGCTAAACTATCTATTAATTATGTCAATGACAGGGAGTGTGATTGTTGAAATAGGGTGTTAGCGGTCTTGCTGTTCAAAGAAGAATGACAACACTGTAGATCACCAACACTATGGTTTATTTTTTATTCACAGGCAAGTCAACGTTGTCGCAGTAAAAGTCCCAAGATAGCTCCTGGTGCAATAAAATGTTCCCTTTCAGTTTTTTACTATTATCCTGCTGCATTAATGTTGTCATGTTGCATCATGTTACTGCTGTAGATGTGTTTCCGAGCCGCTCCAACGAGAGTTACAACGAGAACGTGACGTCATATTTACACAAGACGGATCCTTTCTAGCCATAACCATCCGTCCCCCTGCCGGATCGGTACTGCGCATGTGCGAGATGGACAACTCCGGACGGCAACTCAAGATGGACACTTGACACAGTGGCTTTTAGCAAAGCTCAAAAATAAAACGAGAGCGAAATTAGTTATTGTTATTACAACGTGACTTCACTATTATTTAACAACTCTTTTTATTGGGTTTCTTTT